CACACAAAGGGAACATTTCTTAAGGTGAATAGCAAAATTTTACAGGAAAAAAAAAGCCCATTAAGCCTGTTTCTACCATGGAATACAGGAATGAAAAAGGTAATTGTGACTTCATCTCACAAGTCAAACATTTTTTTGTGCAATTCTGAGTTTATATCTCTCAATGCTGACTTTTTTTCTTGTAATTCAGAGAAAAAAGTTGGAATTGCAAGATATAAACTTTATAAAACTTTCAAGTTTACATTTCTTAATTCTGCATTTACGTCACAATTCCGACTTTTTTTCTCAGAATTCTGTGTACATATCACAATTCGGACTTATTTCTCAGAATTCTGTTTACATTTCACAATTCTAACGTTTTTCTCTGAATTCTGTTTACATGTCACAATTCTGAAATGTTGCAATAAGTTATAAACTCAGTTACCATCTCACAATTCAGTTTTTTTACCTTGCAATTCTGCATTTATTTCTTGTAATTCTGAGTTTATATCTTGCAACTCTACTTTTTTTCAGAATTGCAAGAAAAATTGTCAGCATAGTGAGATAAAACAATGCAGTTACCTTTTTCGCAGGTAAGTACAGTACTCACAAAAGTCACTTTCAAACCAAGCAACTTTCTCTTGATCAACTTGGTGAATCTCTAGGACCCATCACAAAATCTGTGTGGGGAAAACTTTTGCCCTCACATGAAATTGCATGGATTCCTAGACCTCAAGGGAATTTTTTTTTTATTATTTTGATGAATCATAAATTAAGCCTTTTATTTTTTCTGTGCATATTTAAGTCACATCAGTATCATCATACAGAATTAAAAATAAAAATAATTAATAAAACAGATGAGAAACAGATGATAAAAGAAAAAAAACATGCTGAGTAAAAATTTTAGATTTTAGTTGACCTGAAGAACTAATTTTTAAGGTCAACCATCTGGGCCATTAATTGTGTTTACAAAAAGCTATTCTTAACAGCATAATAAGCGATTACATTTAAATAAGATATCATCAAATGCATATGTGGTTACTGAGTCACTGGCCTGAATTTGAAGGCATAAAAAACCTTTGAGAATCACTTCCCATAATATTTATCCTTCAGCACCACAGATCTCCAAACCACACGATAAATGCACCACAGTTCTGATTTCTCAATCATCACCAGGAGTGCTCATGAAACAGACTGTTTAGCATTAAATATTAGTTTAGCAGGCAAACGTGTCTTTAGAGAACTAAATCTTTTATTCCCCATTCAAACACAAACATAACCAAGACAAGAATACCTATTAAATAAACGAATAACCTGTTCTATCACAAGAAGGATGAAGAGAAAGAGATTAATGAAGCAATATTTCTCTTGTCTCCTTCAGAAAAGTGATGTTGCAGCAAATAATTGCAGTACATACGAGACATCTAGAAAACATGTCTGCCTTTAGATGTATGTCTCCCTAAGCTACTTTTCTTGTATATGGTAATGAAGTATAGACATAATAAAATATTCACTCAACAGATCATTAGTGCAGGAAAATTTGCTGTACTCTCAAAAAACTGAGTAATTGCTTAAATGCTGTCACTCTTAAAAAATACAATACTGTATATAATAAGAAATATAAAGGGCTAGACAAAACCTGGACTAGAAGATTACAGCAGTTTGGAGCTTTGGCAGCTTTGAAGATTGAAGGTTATATATAAGCCTTGTGTAGTTAAGCTTGGACAGTACGATGAGAGATTTAAAGTGATGTAGGCCTTTGCTATATAAGAGTCAGAGCGACTGCTAGTCAGTTGCCAGGGTATTGAAGGAGGTTGCTCCAGTGTTTCATTTTCACTGTTTCCATTCATTTCATTTCATAATATTGAAGAAATGCTGCAGAACTGAGCTGAATGCAAAACACTAAAACATTCTTCTTTAAGTGCCCGAGAAATTCTGGATCAGTAATGAACACAGCTGAGAAAAGATCCACTTGTAATACATTGCATCATCCTCAGAAGTACTTTTACAGCTCTCACAGACAATAAACCACATTAAGACAGTGAGAAAAACAAAAGGGTTGCTGCTTCCATGCACAAATATCCAAACATAGATAGATAGATAGATAGATAGATAGATAGATAGATAGATTATAGACACAGACAGACAGACAGATAGATAGATAGATAGATAGATAGATAGATAGATGATAGATTATAGACAGACAGACAGACAGACAGACAGATAGACAGACAGATAGATAGATAGATAGATAGATAGCCTATTTTATGTATAAAGTTGGAGTGAAGTGACCAAACTTCTGAGAATCCACTAAATTTAGAGCGAGAACACAAGGCATCTTTAAAGATCATTTGCTGTCAGTGGCACAAGGACACTGAACTCACTGCATGATTACTAAGTAGTTGACCAGAAAATTGTCCCAGATGCCCTTGCATTATGGTGAACCAGATGAAATGGCTCTACTTTGAGAATGTGCTGGGATGTTCTCGAGTGAAAACGAATAACAGCGGTTGTTTCCTCGTGCGCTGATACTTTCTGCAATGCTGGGAATTTGATCTGCTCCGTTAAAAGACATTTTCTAAGATTCCACAAACTGTCAGAGATATATCTGACAGTTTGTGTTCACATTTAGTCAGTATTTCTTCAGAACTGATGTCTTTCTTGTATATATCCAGCAGGGTATGTATAATTGTGCAATACATTGCACAACAATATTAGGTCATTCTGAAAAGGAAGTCCATCGCACTCATTTCCAGATTAATTTTTCATTTCTAAAATCAACTGGCAATTACATTGAGTTCATCTAGTTCCTTGGACGCTCTCCAGTTCGTGTGTAATGAACCTCTGTGGGGCCATCAGAGCTTCAGATGTGGTCGATAGTGGAAGGACATCTCTTAGTTTGACTAAATTCACAGCTGCACAACGTGGGCCAGGAAATTCTCTATTAGCTTTTTAAAGCTTTCTGTGGGCCTGTGGAAAACATACTATAATCTAATCCACCCGTGTGGTTTTGTAAATGTAATTAAAGCAGCCGCTGCTTGAGGTCGGCGAGCTTGATTCTGGAGGTCCAAAGCTCATCTGCTCAGCTAACCGCAGGCCTAGTTGCTACAGACAGCAAAACAGCAAACAAATGAAGTAGTAATTATGACTGGCATGACCTTTAATTTACAGATTAATGAAAATCTATTAAAAGAGGTATTTTGAAACCGATGTAAAAGCCTCTCACATAAATATATGGCTGGCAAAAAAAAATACAAACACGCTCTGAGCTGCCAGTTTGACCGAATGACAACGCTCACATCCCTGTGCTCAGGCGATCTTTGCGTCAGGAGCAGAATTAGATATCGTTCAGTCCACTCTATCAGCCCTTTCCAATAGCTGCGCTGAGCCAAATACTCCCCTGATAGCCAACTCACATGTGCTTTGTGGACAGGGGACAATTGTCCTTTTGTCCTCGTGCATGGACTGCCTGGTTCTGGCTCCTGTTTTAGAAACTATTATTTTGTGTTCTCTTTCTGGTTTGGCCTAGAAACTTTCTTCTTTAGAGATATTTGGTGATAGAATGCAAGTTTGCTTTGTCCTGTAGCTGCATACTTTGATTAGGCAGGATAATTTGTTGTTTGTTTTTCAAATGAAGAGCCCCTCCTATTCTCTCCAACTCACTCAACACAGATTGTGATGAAAGGAGGGAATAATCAAAGAGTTAGTGGCGGAGGTGGTAAAGATTGACGAGGGGGAGGCTAGTTTGTTTTACCTCATGCGGATAAAATTTTCTCAAACAGATCAACCAGATTCATGGGAATTTATAGCTGCATGAAATTGCAAGAGGAATGTTTTGAAAGGAGATATAGACTAACACTGTCATAAACACTAATTCATAAATTAATTTCTGATTCTATGACACCATATGTTATGTGAAGCTTATCATTTAACATCTGTGTTGGCAATAAACTGGCAGATTATAGTTACAGTATCTAATGAATGTGGTGTTGTGATGGGTAAAGGGGGCTGGGCAGGTTACCAAAATTTTGTAGGTTTGAGACCCATAAGCTCGATGACCCATCACTGCTGTGTAACCCAAGTTGTTCCAGAAGGATTGTCCCTGTAATAAGCGTACGGTAAGTCATTTCAGATAAACGGATGTCTGCCAAAATGACTACTTGTATCCAAGGCATTCATTAAAAGGAGGGATGGGAAATAAGACATAACTGACAGCAGTGTGAACTTACGTTGTGCTCTGGCTACAAAACTTGATTAGTTCAAAACAAATAAACAGTTGTAGATTGTTGATTGACTGATTCTGTAAGAAAGAAAAATGGGATCTAATATCTCATTTGCTCTCTAAGGGCGGTCCATAATCATTTTAAAGCTAAACTTTTACTATATGTGAACTGACAAAGGTTATAGTAGTTTAGAGATTTGCAAGATACATAACTGACTGACTGACTGACTAAATGAATGAATGAATGATGTTTTCAACAAACCACTTAACGATTTTATATATATTTAAACTTAGTTTAAAAAGGCTTGAAGTTTGAAGGTTTTATAGGCCTTACAGAAAGCCATAGGGCCTACAGTTAAATGGCTTTACAAACCCGGGGAATAACCACTTAATTTCCCAGCTTGCCATTGCCCATTGAATTTCTTCCAATTCCCTCTTCATTCAAATTCAGCTTCCTGTGGAGTGTGGCCAATTCGATTAGAAGGTAGCGATTTTTGATGCATTTAGCACGCTCGTTTTTGACTAATTTGTAGTCTTATATTTTGGTAACTAAAACGTTGTTTCAAAACACCCCCTTAATTTGCACCTAGATTTGTGGATGACTAAACAGTTTCTCTTACTTATGATTGTGCACTTTACGCATTGATTCAGCGAGGCACCTAAAAATATCGTTCTCCAGAGCCGGATCAAAGCCGAGGTCAGCTCCTCCGTGAATCCCGCCCTACCGTTTAGCCTAAATAAACCGAAAGGAGGGGCTTGTGGGCGACAGAGAGTAGCGAAGGGTCCCGTGGTGAGCGCTGCAGAGCGGTGTAGTGTGTGTCAGGTTTCATTCTGAGAGAGAGACTCAAGCGCGCAGCAGTCAGACAAACCCGTCAAATGGCACGACCGAAGCACACAGACTCCCACTAGAGCCGGAGCTCACTCAACCATTATCTCCATGCACTTGAATGAGCAGCATGCCTCAGTTGAGGTCGTTTTGAAGATTAATATTTTCACGTGAAAAGCGGTTTAATTGCCTGAAAGGAGAACTTTAATCGGTTTATTTGAGCACTACCCCGTTCAGTGGTGGATAAACATCATATAGCCTACATAAGTCTCACAGACATGGAGGACATGAAATTGCGAGTATCACCTCAGTCCAGTCTGGAGAGGACCTGCGTTCAGCATCCCTGCCAAAAGCGCATTTTGACGAACTGGAAGGACGTGTGTGCAGTCTGCGTGTGTTTGATCTCGTTTGGAGTTTGTGTGTTGCTCTACCTGAGGACGTCAGATCTGCAGTCCAGGGTGCTCAGTTTGGAAAAGGACAGAGACCCCCGTATCTCCAGTTGGATCTCTCTGGAACAGGTGGAGCCTGTCCTGTGGAGTCGACTGGATCAGATATTAGAGGAGGTGAGCGGTGACTTTTATTCTCCAGACGTTTGTCTGTGCTTGTAATAATATCTAGTCATACATATACAAGCTATTTGCTTGAGTCATGAGTGCGAGGACAGAGTGAAAGAGATGTTCTTCATGTTGTCCCACCTTGTTGAAGTCTCAACGAGAAGTGCGCTGTTCAGAAAGTTCAATGAGCAGAGAGACTTTAGAGGTAGAAGATGGTTTATATATGTTTATATAATAATAATAATAATAATAATAATAATAATAATATATATAATGTGTTTTTCTGGAACTACGTTCATGTGTGTTAAAATATGAATTTGAAGGCGGAGAAATTGACGACCAAATCAAATGTTTTCTTGGGCTTTTGTTTAGTTCAGTTTCTTAATTATTATTTGGTGTTATTTTATTCCTTTGTTTGTACTGCGTTTATTGCTCCTTTTTCTCGTTTTTATCTCAGTTACTCCTTTTTAAAGATAAAACGCAAAAAACTAATTACTACTTTCTTTTTAGTTTATCTGACAGAGAAAATTACTTTTATATTGACTTTAAATAAACTTACCCGTTAATATGAACATTTTACCCAATAAATGTCATTCGCCGTCACACATAAGTGATAAATAATTAAATCCTGATTAATGAATTAAGTTTAGTATGTATTATAGCTCTTCAAATGCCAGATCAGACTCTTTTACATGGCTCCAATTTTTCACATCCTCTTTAGCATTGCTCTAGAATGAGTGTCTATAAATAACACAATCATATTGCCAAAATTTCCTGCTGCCATTTTGACACATCCATTAGTGTAGTTGTCTTAATAAAAGTGCACATAATTGATGTGATCCAGTAGATGCCCCCCTATTATCCACATTAGGCTGACTGAATTTCAAGCGAAGTCTGTTCAGCTACTGAAAGCTGTGACTGTTGTTGTTTAGCAAAACTATTATTTGCAGCATGCAAGACCTGCTGAACACATTGTGTCACCATACCACCACCTGTTTTACATCAATAATCAAGCAGTAAGGGCTCTAGCCAACTTTAGCGCTGGCCGAGCACTGCGTCTGTGTAGAATAGGATTTAGCTTGAAGTGGTGAGGTGGAGAAAAGCGAGATATATATACACAGTACGTTGCCTGCGGCCGTGGTCCCTTCATACTGGCCTCTGGTGGTTCATCACCTAGCTGCATGTAAAATATTTGAGGTGTTAAAAGTATCTTGGGTAGAATTTTACTCAGGGAAAGGCTGCCATCTCACTATCTGCGGTTTATAAAGTAATAGAGTCAGCAGAGGATGATGGAGGTGAATATTTAGTGTGTTAATGAGAGTACGCCAACTGGAGTAGAGGCAGCCAAGTGTGAGTCAATCTGAGGCTGAGTGTGATTACAGTATCTGGATAATGTTGAGTCATTTACAGGTGGATCTCACTGAAATCTGTCAAGAACATATCCAGTGCATAAAAATATGAATTTGATTTGCTTATTAGAAAATAGGCACCTTTCAGGCATTTTAACATGCAAAAACCAGATAAAGAATTACAGCCTTATTGTAATGAGAATGTAATGAGAGTCGTCCTTCAGAATAATGGCAATTACTACTAGTAAAATGTCCACATGCATTACAGTAATGAGAGTTTTGGGGGAAATGTGCTTAATTGTAGTGAAAAACATGCTAAAATAGGTTTCAGTTTTGTTTAATACTGATAGGCCTTTGAAAAGCATCTGAAATGTTTATCTCAGGGGTATTCTGTTATCAAGGGCAGATGTTTCTTATAGACATATTGACAACCAGCGTTTCAGCATCACCATAAAATTGCATGTATATGTCTCCATTAAAGCTGAGAAACGTATACATTGGAAGTGCCTGTTGAAGGTTAGAATGGTGCTGATTTCACAATTTATAACAGAACGTGCCTTTAGGGGTGTAATCAAGATCTGTTAAGGGGGAAAGTAGCTAAACGCGAGCGAGCGAGTAGAGAGAGAGAGAGAGAGAGCGAGAGAATGAAAGAAATGGAAAGAGCGATAGAGTTTGGCCTGCAGGCACAAAGTCTGGGGGTCTTAGTAGTAATCGGACATTGGAATTGTGAAACGTTGTGTCATCCGTTCAAAATAGATTGTTAAAACCAGATCAAATACTGGGCATCGAGTTACCATTAAAGCTGGGAGGCAGAGAATGTCACCTCCCTCCCAACCTATCCCTGCAAACCCTGGGGCATCAGCTGTCTCATGCCATTACCACAACCTTACCATTTACATCATGTCATCTTAAAATCAGCATGAAACATGTTCGCAAACCATTGCGCTGCCATAGAAGAACCATTTTTGGTTCCACAAAGAACCTTTCAGCAAACAATTCTTAAATAAACCATTTTTATTTTTTGATTTGATTTGATTTAAAGACCCTTTTTTCCACTATAAAGAACCTTTGGTCCAATGGAAAGGTTCCATGGATGTTATAGAACCATATATTCCACTAAAGACGCTTTGTTTTTAAGAGTGTAATCATTTTCAAGTTTTAATGAGGTATTTTATGAGAAAAAAATGGAGGACAGGACGTGATGTAGAATTGAATGGATTGTAAAAAGTGGGTGTTGAATTCCAAAATAAAGCCAGATGGTTGAAAAAAAATCTTCATCACATCAGCCGAAAAGGAGAGTCGTTTCAGAGGCGTCCAAGTTATTACTTTTTGATGAAAGATTACAAAAAAAAAAAAAATGTTCTCTTTGGAATAACATGCACAGATGAATCGTGCACAATAAGACCAGAGGTGCGTATTAAGAAAGCAAATAGGGTCATTGTTGATTTCATGTTGACTTTAAGAACACCTTTATTCGAGCATAAAGGAACACACCCTACCAGAATTAAATGCTTCAGTAACTTAATGTGCTTCAAAATGAAAGCTAAGTGTTTGTTGCTTTAAATCTTGTTCAAGGTGCTTCCCGTCAATGTAACCCTTCATGCTTACTTTTCATCACTGGTTATTGTTTGCTCAATGTGACTCTGCATTATTGTTTATGAGAGCTTTTAGATTTAAGTGAAATGGGGTTTTGGATGCACTTTTTCATGGTTTGATGTAAAAAAAAATTAAAATGCTTAGAATATATTTTAAAGAAACATTTTATTTGGGAATGCAGCACTGGAAAATCATGAGTTAAAGCTCTGGCAAACCCTGTAGCGTGTGCATTATCCCTGGACATTGCTCTTGTGGAAAAGCAGTTTACGCACAGCACAGGTTCCCTCCAAATTGTAATGCATTTTCCACGGCTTCTGTGCCTGTTGGTTAAACCTGCTGTCACACGTACAGTATATTTTCATCTTAGCATTCTTTAGGTTTTCCTTTTCTTCTTAACCTCCATTAGCTCTTTCTGTTTTACAATATCTGTAGAGCTGCCCAGTTCAGTAGTGTGGAAAAACTGCTACAATAGCTTGTAGTGTCTGAGAGCGGTTTGAGTGAAGACTTCTCCAGCTGGGAAGAGGGTTTGCCAGTATCAACCAAATAAAGCCCTGGAACAATCCATGGTTAATATAAACTGGGGCAAGAAAAATGTCCGATAGCAGACTCAGAATTATTTAGCCTCAGTCAGTGTTTCAATATTAGAGGAGAGGCATGACCTGTAGTACCACAATGCAGATGCCTGACAAACTTTACAATTCAGTCATTAATGTAGCCAGTCAATGATTGTTCAACCAGTGAAATGGCACTGCACACAGTGGGTATGTCTGTTATAGCTGCGGTTTTGTAAGCTTGGGCTAAAAATACGGTAGTAGCTCTGTTTAATGTCTCTTTTATGGAAATTTCATTTTTTTAAAGAGCACAAACTGTTCTTTAAATCCTGTTCATCTATATAGTGTTCACTTTGATACCTATTAGTTTTAATAAAATATTAATAATAATGTTTTCATATGTTTTTAAATGCAATTTATTTCTGTGATAGTAAAGCTGAATTTTCAGCATTTTCAGAATTTTCAGTTATTAATATTGTACAATATTACTGTTTTACTTGTGATAAATAAATGCAGCCTTGGTGAGCATAAGAGACTTCTTTCAAATGTTAGCAACCCAAACTTTTGTATATTCTTGGTTAATTCTTGGTTAAAACTTCAGTGAATGTGTGGGAAATCTTTGCATGAATAACAAAAAAAAGACTAACAAACTAACACCAACTACAGTAGATTTTTTTTATTATACCTTACATACAATGTGGTCGATTTCTGCATGGCTGACTTCGAATGTCCTGTTTGTTTATTTCCAGAAATTAGCAGCACGTCTGCCGAAGATTCGGGCGGCTCGGGATGCACCTCACAGCTGCATCTGTCCACCAGGTACGTCTGTTAACCCCATTCATCCACAGCTCACCCCTCCTCGATCTCTACACACCTGTGATAGTGTGCTCCGCCTGTCACGTCTGATATGCAGTTGAATGTATGTTGAGGTTAAGCCTTTTGAGCTTTCCTTCCACGAAACAGTCTTTTGTCTGCAGGTATGTGAAGAGATGCTATTGTTGCCAGGATAGAGATGTGATCGACTAGATCTCATTTCCCATGTAATGTAAATGAGTGAAAAGAGCCTCCTCTCCCCGACCCAGTCACTGGTGCCCTCGGACTGGCATTGCTGTGGTGACAGGTGCAGTCGTATTTTCGGGCGCTGTTGGCAGTCATTGCTTTCACTTTGTGTTGAGCGGGTCGTGATGCAAGCCGGAGTGTTGGGATGGCATCATCTGGCCATTCCTGAGCGCAGGGAACAGTCAACAAGGTTCACGGAGTACGACTAACAAGTCACATCTGTATGTCTGACAGGGCTTGTTAACTCTTTGGGGGTTCAATAAAAAAAAAAAAGATAAATTAAATATATTAAGAATTTATAGTAAGTATATAATAAATGTATTTATACAGTTGAACAGTATTATAGAATATTCATTATTAAATATCTAAACATATTTTTGAAATGTACAAATTAGATTGTGTGTTTGTGTGTATATATAATATTAAATGAAAGTGGTATTAATATTAAAGGGATCCTATTATGCTCTTTTACAAAGTCTTGATTTTGTTTTGGGGGTGTACTAGAACAGGCTGTCATACTAGGTTGCTCGAAAAACACATTCTTTTTCATATATTTTACATTATTACAACACCTCTCTCCTCAGTCTGGCATGAACTGTATCAAATGAAGGCCCTCCTTCTGAAATACGAAATGTGCTGTAATTGGTTAGCTGGGCCAGTGTGTGTTGTGATTGGCAGCACTCGGCGCCTGGTCGGGAAATGTCATGCCCCTTACCATAGCCGCCTGCTTCAGTGTAAATATTGCGTCAAAATCAAATCAATTTGAGTGCGATTTAAACCCGGATGATTGTAACCACTCTAAGTTCGTCTGCCTTGAGAAAGCTAGCATGTCTCTGACATAGTGATAACACATACATGTGTGTGTGTGTGTGTGTGTGTGTGTGTGTATATATATATATATATATATATAATAATAAATAAAAATGGTTTAAATATTAAATAATAATAAATTACACACACATACAGTATATATAAAATTGCCCTCAATTCTAATAGTCTTTCACTTTTTCTACTAACAGCGAAGCTTAGCAGCTACATTTTAACTTGCTTCCCTAACATAACCTCCAGATGTCAGTCATTATACAACCTCTTGTGTTATAGCCTGTGCTTGTGTGTGTGTGTGTGTGTGTGTGTGAATTTACACATCTCTGAGAACCATGCCAGATGGTACAGACATCTCCTTGTTAATTAGGCTAGTCAGTACTAGTCATTGTTGTGTTAACTGAGTGGGAAGTGACTTCAGACAGCGTAGTGAAACCAGTTTAAGATGGACATGTCTTGGATAGGCACTTTCGAACCAGGTGTGGGGACCATTTAACAGCAGGCATCCTAGATAATGGCCGTGTTGGTTGTTTATTGCTGTGCCGTGGGAGAGTGTCTGATCTCGCAATACAGTCTGTTTCAACCATTTGATGTAAACCAGATCAAAATATCAGCATAAAACATGTCCATTGACTGTAGATACAGTACAGTTTGTATACATTGTGCAGGTTTTTTATTATGTATGCGTATAAATACTATGTGTATGTAAGGAAGTGTCCGCATATGTTGTTCACCGTGTCGCCAGCTGCCGCTTGTCAATCATTCCAGCACGCAGTGTTCAGATGGCTTCCATTCCATTGTTTATTTTGAGTGCTCAGCGGTGGGTAATAGTCTGTGACTCAAACGCACAGACTCGCTTGTATACGTATAGCATTGATTTAATGTTTGAGCTACAGTTGAGGCGTAATAACTTTTCTATCCACAAAGGTGTAGTTGTACGAACACATCAACAAAATAGTGCTTTAGCGTATAGTTAGCGCTTCCTCTTCCAAGTTCATAAAGAATGGTTTGTGAATGTCATGTGCAGCTCAGCCCAAGGACAGTATATTATTATTCTTGGCTTGGCATGTTTTAGCGAAGATGATGTGTGGTGTGACTGTCTGTGAGAGTATACCTGGTGGTTTTATACACAATTTGTTTTTTAATTCTGTGTTTAGTCCAAGCCTGTTCCTCTTGCAGTGCTACTATGCTCTGAAAACAGCTGGCATATGGGCTTGGGGAATGTTTCAACAAATCCAAATGAGTTTATTTTTTCTGATTTTGCGAATCCCAAGGGGCTTCAGAGGTTAAGTTCACTCAACTCGTGTTTAAAAACCCATTTGGCTCATTCTCATTCACTCGGAACTCCTCCAAGATTTGTTTTTATTAACAAAGTCATCGTCGGTTCATACACGCAACTGTTTACCCTCCAGCGCTGCACATTTCAGCACTAAAGCAGTAACAGTGCCACACATTCTTACTGTGAAGAAAGCTATTCACCATCTCAGAGTCATCTTTACATTGCAGGTATGAATAAGCCTGTGTGGATTATAGGGCTGCACGATATTGGAAACAACCGAAATTGTGATGTTTTGTTTTTCTGCAATATGTTGCCATAAAAAAACTACATGAATTTTTATCAGGTGATTTAAATAGCTGTGTTTGGGGGGGAAAATCAATCTAGGATAATTGGGGTGTGCATCTGCAAAGAAAATACAAATAACTGTTACCCTCCCCCTTTCTTTTTTTCCATTTAGTTTCTTTTCTTTCTTTCTTTCTTTCTTTCTTTCTTTCTTTCTTTCCTTCCTTCCTTCCTTCCTTACTTACTTACATCCTTTGATGCATGATTTGGGAAAAAAAATAAATAAATAAAAATTAAAAATTCTCATTCCAAAAAACCTCATTCCAACTGTTTTGACATTGAAAATGTTAAATAAATATTAAAATATGAAACAAATTAAGAAATACATTGTAATAATACTATTGCACTGTATTTCATAAATAATTGTATTTTATTGTATAACTATAAAAGTACATTAATATTTGTGTCTAAATTTCAAACATCAAACCATCTAGCTTTTATTTAGGCAGTTTGCTGGAAAGTAAACAAAGGTTTTCGAGTGAAATGCAGCACTGTGTTCATTTACACGCTTACAGCTCATGATACAGTGTTAAGTGACTGGTCATACAATCAATTCTATTTTAATATATCATGCAACCTTAGCTGTTAGAATATTTGTCACATTCTGATTTTTAATGTCTTATACTGATAATCTTATAAAATGTTTACGTAAATTCCCCTCACTTGAAATGTTTCTATAGAATAAATGCTCTGATGGTGTGTTTTCATTAATAATTTAAACCTTGATTTTTTTAACCATAGTGAGAATCATAATAGACAGATGTAAACACGGCAGGTTGCGTGACATGAACAAGCAAGGTAAAAGAAAATATGGTCCAGATAAAAATGCGGATAAAAATGATCTATGCGACCACAGCATGTTTTGTGTGGTGATTTATTAGCTGCCAAGAGCATGAAACCATTGAAAAGACATTTAGAAACCAAACACTCAAACAAACCAGCTGAAATGACCTTAATACTTTAATAAATATTTAAGTAAATTTCAGTCTTTGATTTAGTTTACTTCTGTACGATAAACAGTTTTTTGGTTGTTGAGTCGCCGCTTGGTAAAACCAGTTAAGCACCACTAGTTTATAAGTGTTTTAGGTTCATTTTCAGCGTGTGTGTTGTTTAGCTATGACCTTCTGAACAGATGTGTATATGTAAACATCATTATTAAAAAAATTGAATCCGTGGCTTATCGTAGATGGCTTGATGTGTGATAGTTCTGTTAACAGCGACTGAGGCAATGTCGCTATTTAGTCATCAGAGAAAACAAGAACGCAGAGTGTATACATAACGACAATGATTTATAGCTCCAAAAAAGGTTTTTGGAAAGGCGTGTTTATCTGCCCAGCCTCTTCGCTGGTATCGAAGGGTCACGGTGACGTGAAAACCAAATGCACACGTCTCGAGGTGTGAATGAACTGTGTAGACAATTGTGGCATACTGATGGATATGATGCTCTTTGTTCTAGCAGAGATTTGTAAAAATGATCCCGGAGGCGCTTACTGCCAACAGCTTTGTCAGTGTACAGGAAAATTCCCATGACAGTTAGATTGAATCCAGGCCCAAGCACCCAGAACGCTCTTGAATCCACACATTGTTTCCCGAGAAGCTGAATGGCACTTTCTTGGACGAAGTAGTAGGAAACAGAGAGAAAGAAAGAGACGGCCACCCTCTCGGCTTCTATGTACCGCACACCCCCCATTGCTCTTATTTCTGAAAAACCAAAGAGCCGATTGCCTGAAGGATTTAACGTCTTTGTGACTAGATTCCGACTGCAGACCAGAATGGGTGGCTTTAGTTGTGTCACCAGGGGTCGTAAGGGATTGAGTAAGAGTGCTATCTTTAAACGTGTGCATCACGGACACCTCTCTGTTGGTCTTCTGTTGGATTGTTTTGGGTGCCATAAAGAGCATTATAACATCAGATCTGTTGTACGGAACACATTATGGAATACATTATAATCGAATGGATCTATTTGGAAATCTAATTTTTCTTGTCTTCTCCACCGCTAATATTATCATAGCTCTGTTTCCATTACTCTTCAAATTGCACAAATTGAAATTGCGAATTGAAAATGCGGCCAATGGAAACATGTAAATTTCGCAAAATCTCCTATATATCACAAAAAAAGTTATAACGCTTGCATGAGGTGGTTTTTCAGACAATTTAAAAAAGGAATATATCGCAAAAGTGCAATTGAAACAGTCCCCCCATGCTTGTTTTTATACCAGCCGCGCCATGGCATGTTTCAGAAGTAGCTCTCCGCACTGCTTCGCTAAAGATAGGAGATATAGGCGTGTAGCCTTTGATTAAAAATAATGCTTAGGGC